CTACCACTGAGCTATACCCCCACCTTTTTTCAGTCTCTTATAAATACAAATTGTTTATACAGAACTTGCATACACTAGCAGGCTGCGCTTCGGCCTTTACAAGCAGCCGATCTGCAATAAACATATTTCTCAGCATGCAGTCTGTTGTAACTATTTTGCAATATTCTTAAAACATAGACACAACTTGGCTGTGTAGGAGCGGGTCATTGAGGTTACCGGGTGTGAACTTGTGAACAGATATTCTGCTAAATAACTGAGACACACAACGCCATGATTAACTTCTCAGAATCTGCAGTATCAGTCTCAAGATCAATAGGGCAAATGGGAAAAGCAACCCTGCTGTGACCAGTGATAATGATAATTACCCTCGAGTGCAGCTTTAGCTGTATCATAATATACGAAAGACACCTGTCTTTTGATTTCCCAAACTGCAAGGACATTTTTCTTCTTAGCTTCATCCATTTATAGTGATAGTGTGAGATAAGAACTGCTGCTTCCCCAGCTATAACTGTAACCTGGACTGGATGTTTCTATACAGCCAAAGTACTCTGTTTTACACCTGGAGCTTTCCTTTCCTGTGCCTGATCCACAACATCTTTCCAAATTGAAGTGCGCTGTATGTATAACACAGGTTCCAGATGTTAGACAATAGAGGTCAAGACTGGGCAGGTGCTGACAGCCTCTGGCAGGCCTGTAGCTCTTGGCATGTACCAACAGTCCCTCAGCTCCCCTAGCAGTGTTACCTTATGTTACAGACTGAACTTCCTCCTGGCGTGTGCTCACATAAATTGTAAGGACAACATTTCAGGATTTTCTCCGTTGACAAATGCAGAGACTTTTACTTGTTGCACTGCTGGGTGCATGAATTTCACAAGGGATATAGAAATGATGAGTATTGAACGTTTTTGTACTGTTGTATGTCAAGCATCCATTCATTGCTCAGCTTAATTACCGTGTCCTGTGAATGACTTCTTTACATATGACCATTTTAGGAAATGGTAGACTACTTTAAAGACATACTGTACAACATTACTGGTAGGGGGCACCCAGAGTTGAACTGGGGACCTCTTGATCTGCAGTCAAATGCTCTACCACGAGAAGGTTTCCCATCTGCTTATTGGTAAAGTATTCTAAATGACAATCAAATATAAGAAGAGCAGTGTATTAATCAGTTATGGTTTGTATTCGTAAGGGGACACTACAAAGCTTTTGCGTCTTTGTGCAGAGGGGGGCACCAGATCGTTTGAAGACTTGGGAACCTCTTGATCTGCAGTTCAAATGCTCTCCACTGGAGATATACCCCTCTACATAAGAATAGTTTCCTGCGTTTATTTGGTAAATATTTCTAAATAACCTAAAGAATATAAGAGAATCAGGGCTATTCGGTCACTATGTTTTCAGTGGTGTTACATCGATGAGCCGTTTTAGACAAATGATTACTTACTTTGAAGATCGATAACTGTTGCAACATTAGTGGTTAGGGCACCAGAGTTGAACTGGGGACTCTTGATCTGCAGTCAAATGCTGCTACCCACTGAAGCTATACCCCCTTCTAGCATAGGAGCATTTCCCTTGATTATTGGTAAATATTTCTAAAATAACTAACAAAGTATAATGAGAACAGGGTATTCGTCCACTATGTTTTTAGTGGTGGTACATATGACGTTTGTACAGCAAGATGGAACTGTGCAACATTTTTAGTGGTAGGGCACCAGATTGAACT